CACCGAGCCGGCCGTTTGCGCTCTTCGTCACCTAACCTCGCGTCATGTTGACTCTGAGCTCGCCCAGAATGCGGTGCGCCTCAATTACGGCCTATCCGTAATTGTCAAGCTATTGCATCCACCATCACGTTGGCCTCTAATCAAGGCCGTCATTGGACTCATTCGAAATCTGGCCCTCTGTCCGGCCAATCATGCGCCGCTGCGTGAGCACGGCGCCATACACCATCTGGTGCGTCTCCTGATGCGTGCATTCCAGGATACAGAACGCGTAAGTAGACTCAATTCTAAGCTGAAGGTTTGTCCCGATTGGCTGGTTATTCATAAAAAAATGACAACCAACAATGTGATCTCAGATTAGCCTAATATTAGTGATATATATATATGCATATATGTATATATTAATATTTAATCCACATGATTTGCAGCAACGTTCGTCAATTGCCACCACCGGGTCGCAGCAGCCGTCTGCATATGCCGACGGCGTGCGAATGGAGGAGATAGTGGAGGGCACTGTCGGCGCCTTGCATATCCTTGCTCGTGAATCGCACAATCGGGCTCTCATACGTCAGCAGTCGGTAATACCGATCTTTGTGCGTTTGCTCTTCAACGAAATCGAGAACATTCAGGTGAGTTGTTTGTCTTCTTCTTCTTAATAATTAAATTAATTAATATATATAATAAATAATTCATATTGCAGCGTGTTGCCGCCGGCGTACTTTGTGAGCTGGCCGCCGATAAGGAGGGCGCCGAGATAATTGAACAGGAGGGCGCCACCGGGCCACTCACCGATTTGTTGCATTCTCGCAACGAGGGCGTGGCCACTTACGCAGCAGCCGTGCTGTTCCGCATGAGCGAGGACAAGCCGCAGGACTACAAGAAGCGTCTGTCCATCGAGTTGACCAACTCGCTGCTGCGCGAGGAGAACAACATCTGGGCCAACGCTGACCTGGGCATGGGTCCAGACTTACAGGTGCGTAATAGCCACTAGGATATACACTTTGTTTTGCCTCTATGTATATAAAACATATCTATTAAAAAACCCGTTTTGTTTCGAGTCACAATCCACGAATCTGTACATAAACATTTGTAGCAAATACATTTATAACTGAAACTATTTGTAAGCATATTAATTATGTATATATTACAAAATTATCCACATATTATTATCATCATTATTATTATTATCAACGATAACGAATTGTCGATTTTTTTCCATTACGAAAATCAAAAAAAAAAAATCATTTGGTTTAATGTTAGTTTTAAGTAGAGTTTGATTGCAAGCATTTGGCCGTAGCTAATAGACAATTTAAATTCGAGTTAATTGAAACATTCGAATTACAAAAAAAAAAAAATACTTTTTATCACATTAGGAACAAAGTTAATTACCCCGCCCCCTTGATTTGCCAGCCCATATACATATGTAATCTTTATATACATATATCTCTCTATTTAGTTATTTATTTAAACATGTTATCTAATTACCGTTTAATTTTTGATTTTGTAATTCATTTGAATTTTGATTTATTTCGTTTCTTTTTTTTTCTTACAATATGTTTTGTTTGTGTGCAAAAAACAAAAAATCGAATTCGAACAAACCGACTATCACACACACCACACACACACAACAATCGATGTCACTTGCAACACGCACAACAACAACTACAACAAACACCTGCAACTGTGCATTATCCTCTCTCTCGCTCTCTCTTAAATGCGCAACACAAAAACTCGTGTTCTGTGTCTGTGTGTCTCTTCTCTTTCCTAACAACTTTTCACTTCTGATCCATCCATTCAAAAAATAAAAAAACTATCGAAAAAAAAACCCCACAAACACACACCAATCAACCCACTTTTCGCTCACACACACACACACACACACACACTACAATCGAATTGATAACACGAACACGAACACGTACACATGTCACGATCACGTTCACGATCACGACCACGTCACGATCACAGGATATGCTTGGACCCGAAGAAGCATATGAGGGTCTTTACGGACAAGGTCCGCCCAGTGTGCACAGTTCGCACGGAGGTCGCGCATTCCATCAGCAAGGTATGTATGGCTTGCATTCACCTACTACGGCACTAAGGATCTACAATCAATCAAAACTAATCAATCACAAATCTTACCCCATTTAAATAAGATACCTTAAATATGGCCCGAACCCGCCCCACTTATCGTTGCAAATAATCAATGTCTGAATGTGTGTGTGTAAACTAATTATTTGCTTAAGCTGAAATCAACAGATGACTTAAAGTGAGCCCCCCCCCTCCCCCCTCTTACCGCACACAGTAGTCAATTGAGCCCCCCGGTCCAACACAACCCCAGGAGCCTTTGTGAACATCATTAATCATTAGTAGCTTAACAATAATCACATCAGTAACTAATCGATTACCTAACAAGTATCCTTAATAATCGATAGCTACGTTAAGTGTCATCAATTACAAAACTATCGATTACCACTTCACTGATTCAAAAGTCAAGTTCACATGAACCAGTTTGAATAGAGTTTCACAGTTTCACGTACACTCTCTCAAACTCGATCGTGTGAACTTAGCTTGAATCTCTTTTTCTTATGCTCATGCTCGATAACATGTGTATGTATTTCTGTTCCCTGACCCGACCCCGGCCATAGCCACAACCATGGACAGCGCCACACCCACCCGAAGCCAATCAGCACCACCCATTGACCCAGTTCTGCATGCCAAGTGTGCTACGTAAACATATATGCATATATAAAACAAAAAATAATAAACCACAAGCGTAACTTTACTTCATTTCTCTTTGCGTCTGTTTAGTTAGTTACATCCCCTTCCCGCCCATTATTTAAAAGCCCAACTTCAAAGTGTCTGTTCAATGTTTCAATTGCCATCGAGTAAAATCCGTTCTTATATCCACTCTCCACAGTGTAAATCATGATGAAAGCATTAGCAAAAGCGCGAACTCTTTGACAAACAGGAAAAATAAGTGGTTGAACCTAAAAAAAAGGCTCTGTACTGTACTATGCTGAAAGCTATGAAAGAAAGCTCAACAGAGAGTGAGCAAGAGCCGCATTCCGAGCTTATGCAGCGAGTGCTGAGACCATTTAACATGCATGTTAAATCTACAACATAACATTTTACTCGAATGTTAAGTTGGAGTCGGATTATAATGTTTCATTCCATTCGCCTTTTTGCCTTGCCCCAGCAAGCAGTAAATTAGAGAACACAAATAGAGAGTTAGAGGTAACGGTTCGTAGAGCTGCGTACACCCCCCCACCCACACTCTGATATAATACACATATAGATTCAAATACATACACAACGCACCCACACACACACAGAGAAATCTCAAACTTGATACGGTCTGAGGCGAAAAACTGAAAAACAGCGTTCTCTTGATTTTCTTTGATTAATTGTTTATTTTCAAATAATAAATGGCTATTTTAACTTTGATATATTATCAATTACAATTATGCTTTAAGTTGAATTAAGCATTGATTTGGCATGCATCTTAAGTGTTCGATAGACTTAAACTTTTGCTTAATATAATTGAATGCTGCATTCACTGGAAAGTGTCCTTGTACGTATGCATGTGGATATATGAGTTAAACCATTAGATCCGAGTGCTTTATCTCTTATATAGTACATATATTATATAATTTGATAATAATATAATAATAATTTAATTTATAACTTGTCAGATTTTGGCTGTGCCTGCAATTAAACTCCATCAAATTTCTCATTCCGCAGGATATGATACTCTACCAATAGATTCAATGCAAGGTCTCGAAATCAGCAGTCCAGTAGGTGGTGGTGCTGGCGCTGCTGGTAATACAGTAGGCGGTGGTGCTGGCGCCGGTGGCGCTGCACCACCCGGCGGAGCACCCACATCGCCCTACTCCATGGACATGGATGTCGGCGAGATTGATGCGGGCGCTTTGAATTTTGATTTGGATGCCATGCCGACGCCACCCAATGACAACAATAACTTGGCTGCCTGGTACGATACCGACTGTTAAGCACAGATCACATGAATGATCATGATTATGATTAAGAAGACGAGATGACTACGACGACGATAACAACTTTGGTTGTTCATTCAAACACAATATAAATACTAAGATACCTATCGCCCACATCAACCATATGCCACTAGGCTAGGCAGCTCAACATATATTAACAAAATTAAGAATAAACAACAAAATCGTAATCGATAACTTTGCGCTCTCGCAACTTGAAAGAGCGTAAAATGCTAAAAATAGAATGTGCTCTCATTATGTATGTGTATGTAAACATCAAATGATGTTTGTATGTGTTTGTGTTTATACATAAGGCGGGCTATGTCATATAAAATGTGTTTTTTTTCTTTTTCTTTTGTCAATTTGCCTTTACAATTTAGCAATTGTATCTAAGGTAAACACACACATTCATATTATGAATCAGCAATAATACTTAGCCCCTCTCGCATATACTACAAGACATGAACACGAAACGACAGCAATTTTTTTTGTGGCTTTTGGAGAGCGAAAAGCCACCTGAAAAGACATGGCAGAAAATGTACGTAGTATTGAAATATGTGTATGGGCATTACGCATCTTGGTGTTTATATTGTCTTTGGTTGATGCCAATGTCGTGCAATTAAAATACACACATTACATTATATATTAAACATAAACATAATCTTACATATTACCCATATACACAAAAATGGAAATTAAACGAATGTTTGCAATAGAATCATAAATTAAAAACGTTTTTCAACTTGAAAACCAGAAGCATTTCCAGTATTTGAGTTTTCTTTTCTTTTTTTTGGAAACTGATAGCAAACATTTTGAAAAACTCGAATGGAACGTTTGATAGAGGATAATCTACATAATTGAACATATTTTTTGATGGATTGCAAATTCCGATATGGATTTCTGGAAGCTTTAGAGCGACCGCTGTACTTGAAATTTGAATAAACATTAAGAGGCAGTAAGGCACAAAAATTGATTAACAACAATTGGTTGATTTATTAAAACATTTACTAAGTTAATTATTGGTTCGCTATAAACTATAAATGCTTGCCGAACCACTTGTGGTCCACAGGCGACAGCCATCGATGGCAACCATTTAAATTGTTTTGTATAACATATTTCAAGGTGAACGGGTTCTGGTTCTCGCGAGCTCGTTGCTCCTCCGATGCCTGCAGCTCGTCCAGCATTTGCTGGGAGACAACAGTTGCCTGGAATGGCAACTGATTGGCCACCTGCTGGAGGAAGCCCTTGCATTCGACGAACTCGCATTTGCCAGCAATCTCAACAATCACACGGCCGGCCTTGACTGGCGTCACGTAATGGTCGATGGCACCCTTGCCGCCGCCCATGCGTTGGCCCTGACCCTTTTTGGTGATTGGTTGCCAAGGCGCGGGCACACGCCAAGTGGCAAACATTGTGTTCACGTTCATTTTGCGGCCAATGGTCAGACGCATCATTTCGTAGTGCCCCCAACGCAAACGGCCGCCACCTGTCGCAATTATCGCGTATTGTTTGTGGAGCAGTTGATTGTGGACGAGCTCGGGTCCGCGCATGTAACGCAAACGCTTTTGCATTTTGGGTGGTCGCAAGTTGGGTGGATGCTGGGGCATGCGCTCCATAATACGCAGCTTGGGTCGCTCCACTTTCTCGATGTCTGCAATTTGATGCACATTGTAGTACAGTATAATATTGGAAATATATATCATTAGGGGGTTTTACTTTCATATTTGATTGGCGGTGGAAAATATTTGAGGCCGGCTACGCAATTGTAATTCACATTGGCAGCTGAAAATGAATATGATTTTGAATGAAATTATACTTGTGCTGTTTCTGAATAGTATTGTACTTACATGTTATACTGGTCTTTAACAATTGTGTGACCGTTTTTAAGCACCACATGTCTCTTTTAAATATTTATTAAAGTCAAGAATTCAGGAGTTTGGGCTATTGCTGGTTGCATCAGCGGAGCGTTGCCAGACTGTCGACCTTCCGATTTAAAATTGTTTTTAATTGGCAGATTAGGATTAGCATAAGCCATCAGATGCGTATATTAAATGTACAACTTACTGATTATGAGCAGGTTAATTTATGTTTATATATCCATACAAATAATATTAATTTATTTTTTTTTTTGTTATATTTAGTAACACTGTTTTAGATGCAGGGCTACCATAGGCATTTCGTTATCGCATTCACGATTCATCGAAAATATGCGATATATGAATACAAAATATATGTTTTACCGTTTATATATTTTTATAAAAATCGAATATTGCTCGATAAGTAAGAATAAACAATATAAAACAGCAACAGATTCGTCTATATTCGACATAACTGTACAGGTTGCATATGCAGGTTATAATATGTATTTGATTGCTATAGTGGAAACTCGGTATATGCGTGTGGGTGTGTGTACTTATTGCTATCGAAAAATGCAACGCTGCAAAGTGTGGTATTTTTCTTCATATATTATCACTGGTTAAAGTTTAGGATACCCTGCGCATACACGAAAAATCATTTTTTGTCTAAATAGTGTATGTTTTGAAACATTCTCTATATGTACATACAAACAAATAGAACTGTAGATCCGAGTGCATTGAGCAACAATTGCTAGCGTTTAAATGTGTTTGGCCGCTTAGTTTGTTGTTATGAATATATCGAAAGTGACAACATCGCTTGCTGCTGCGGCTGCTGCCGCCGAAAAAGCGAAACCCGAACGTGTAACATCTGCAACGGCAGCGCTCAATTTTAATACAATCTCCATACAAAAGCGCAGCAGTGTGGACGACAATGATGATCCAAATCGCAAGAAACTAAAACGCGACATTGTTATATGTACGCCCACGACCAGTTTACCCGCCAAACAGCGTGCAGCTACAGCTACAGCTACAGCAACAGTAACAGCAACAGCAACAACAACATCAGCAGCAGCAGCAGCAGCTCCACCAGCAACAACAACACAACCAGCCACAGTGTCCACAACAGCCACAATCAGCGCTGGGCTGGCCAGTAAAACAACTCCGGGCGAGCCACAGACAACAAACATTTTGGCCGCCTCCAGTATTGGCGGTAACTTTGTTAGTCATTCGAATGCAAAGCCAGACGCTGCTCCAACTCCTGTTGACGTCTGCTGGGAGCAGCGTGATGACCAAATAATTGTTTGTGAAATGAGCGCCATTAAGCCAGAGGAGTCGTCCGCTACCAAAAACATCACCAGCAGCAACAGCAACAACCCAAAGCAAAGTAAGTTTAGCTGCAAAATTTGTTGTTTAGTTTCAGCTATTGCTTAATAGAACACATTTGTTTTACAGCTTTTGCCAGCTTTACCAAAAAAGATGTCACAACAGCATCGGTCTCATCATCCTCCTCCACAGCCTCCATTATATCGATTGAGCCAAGCGCTGAACAGCCATCAAGCAACAACAACGAGCAGCAGCTGGTCAAAGCTGTGACTGTTGAGGAGCTCGACTATGTGCTGCTACCTGCCACAACGACGGCTGAGCTAAAGCCGGCAACACACGAGGCAACAGTTACAAATAATAATAATACTAACAGCAGTGCTAACAGCAGCAGCAGCAATAGCAGCAACAATGTGGCTAGCAGCAGCAGCAGCAGCAACAGCAATGCCTCTGGAAACATGACGCAAAAGGCAACGCCACCAACACAGCTACAAGCGGGCAGCTATAACATGTTCAATAGCGGCGCCACAACAGCTACTGGCACAGCAACAGCGGCCGCAGCGCTGGTGAATCGCGTCAATTTGCATGCCAAGTTGAAGGGCCAGCAGCTGATGGTGAACGCCAAGAAGCTGGGCGAGGTCACGCAGACAACGGCCAAGGTGTCCATTGGTAATAAGACGATATCTGTGCCGCTTTTGAAGCCGCTGGGCAGCACGCAAATACTTCAGGGCGGGCAATTGATGAGCGCCAGCGGTGCAACCACGGCAGGTGGTGCAACAATTGTTGAAAGCAAACAGCAGCTGGCGACAACAACAACGGCGACGGTAGCCTCACAACAACAGCAGCAACAACAGCAGCAACAACAGCAGCAGCAACAACAACAACAACAACAGCAGCAGCAGCATTTGCACATAGCCAAGCTGCTGAAGGGCCCACGTAAAACTCCGACAACAATTGTCTCGTTTGCCAACGTGCAAATCAAGCCGGCCAATACCAAAATTGTCACCGCCAAGGTGGTTAGCAAGAAGATGTCGCTGCAATTTCAGCAACAACAGCAACTGCAGCTGCAGATACAACAGCAGCAGCAACAGCCCAGCGGCGGCAGCATTGTTACCATAACACCAACAAATGCAAATCAAACATTTACCATGCTGCAGCAACAACCACAGCAGCAGCAGCAGGCCCAGGATAAACAGCCCGATGTCGAGCCGCTAGAGCAGCAGCAGCAGCAACAGCCTAAGACCATCAGTTACAGCGAGAATATACAAAAGATTTTGCTAAACAAAAGTAAATCGTTGGATGGAGGCGATGCTAGCACCGAGTTTGGCAAGATCAATAGTGTTGTCATCAAGCCACTGGACAAGACCCAATTGCACTGTACGCCCAGCCTTAATATATTCAAGCAGCAGGTGCAGCAGCAGCAGCAACAGCAGCAGCAGGTAGCATCAGCTGCAGCGGGCGTCGCTGGACACGGCGAGGACACGCTGGTGAAGTCAACAGCTGGCGCCACGCTCTGCACGCGAAATATTATATCCATACAGAAGAATATTTCGCTGGTGGTGTCCAAGACGGGGCTGGCGCAGCAAAAGCCTAAAATGATCACGACATCAGCGAACAGCGCAACGCTGCAAATGCAGCCGTTCAATCCTCACGAGGCTGCCGAGACTGTGGCCAAGCTGCAGCTAAAGGTGCAGCCGATCAAGCTGAACGAAACACTGTCTGTCAAGCCAGCCGATGCCAGCGACAGCGAGGCAGCCAAGCCAAAGCTGCTACTGGTCAAGCAGGCAACGGCTCCGCCGGACAGCCATAAGGATGCCCCAGCTGAGCAGCAGCAGCAGGAGCAGGAGCTGGGCAATGCCACAGAGAAGCGTCTGCAGCAGCCCAGTCGAGTGGAAGACTCAAACAATGCGCTGCTCAAGCAATTGTTGCAAAACAGCAGCAGCAGCAGCAGCAGCAACAGCAGCGCCAGCAACAGCAACAACAACCACAATCTGCAACAGATTTCTATAACATCGGCGCCGCTGTCCGCGCGCAAGGTAATCAATGTGCGTGCTCCCAGCATGGGTCTAGTCAGCTCGCTGGAGGCGCAACTGGCACGGCCCGTCATACCGCCCGTCCCAGCGGCCGTTAGCAGCAGCAACAGCAACACCAGCAGCAGCTGCAACACGATAACCACAACAACGGCCACCATGGTGGCCATCAGTTTGACGTCCACGCCATCCACACCAGCCGAGCCACAAAAGCTGATCGAGTTGCAGCAGCAGCAGCAACAGCAACAGCAGCATCATCAGCAGCATCATCAGCAGGAGGCAGCCGCTGCAGCAGCAACATCAACAACAGTCACAACTGCAGCAACTACAGCAACAACAGCAATAGCAGCAGCAGCAGCAACTGTTGCACCTCCGCCAGCGCCGCAGCTGAAGCAGTCGGTGCAAATTGTGTCCAAGGAGACCTCCTTTATATCCACACCCGTGGTACCTAATGCTGCTGCTGCAGCTGCCGCCGCCGCCGCTGCTGCTGCTGCTGCTGCAATGCCCGCTGTGACAAATAAGCTGCCGTCCGCTTTGATTGTCGAGCCGAGCATTAAGACAGATCCGCTGCCACCCCCGCCACCGTACGAGCTGAGCGCCGGCCACGTATCGAATGTGACCATTTCCATAACGACCAAGCCCAGCAAGGAGCAGCTGCTCAAGCTGAACAAACTGGAAGCACATGATGAGGCTCAAGCGCAGGCGGATGCCGAGAAGCCGCACTCGGCGGCGCCCTTGCACAGCGACAACTGGAAGCTGCAAGAGAAATCGGCAAATGTGAATCTGTTGAATAGTGAGGCCTTGAAACGAAAGTTGCCGCTGCAGCAGCAACAACAACTGCAGCAGCAGCAGCAGCAGATTGAGGAGAAGCCAGCGTTGGAGATTAAGAGCGAAATTGCTTTGGTGCACAGCAACAATGTGGATACTGATATGATGAAGGCGCGCATTGCCGCGCCAGTTGCCGCTTTTGAAAAGTTGCAGCAGCAGCAGCAGCATCATCATCAGCAGCAACAACATCAGCAACAGCAGCAGCAACACTTGCAACAGCAACTTCAGCAGCAGCAACATCAGCCGCAACAACAGATTCAATTGCAGCTACAGCAACAGCAGCTGCTGCAGCAACAACAACAGCTTCAACAGCAGCAGCAACAACACCAACAGCAACAACAGCTGCTGCAACAACAGCAACAGCATCATCCGCAGCAACAACAGCAGGTACAACAGCAACAGCAGCAACTACAACAACAGCAGCAGCAGCAAATACAACAACAGCAGCAACTGCAGCAGCAGCAACTACAACAGCAGCAACTACAACAGCAGCAACTACAACAGCAGCAGATACAGCAGCAGCAGCAAATGCAACAGCAGCAGCAGCAACATCAGCTACATCAACAACCACCGTCAGCAACAGCAGCAGGAGCAACCACATTGGCTGAGCCAAAGGCCGTGGAGCAGCGCAAGCGACGCAAGCGCGAGGCACAAAAACCACGCCGCAACAATGCCAATGCTGCTGCCGGCGCTGCAGCTGCTGCTGCTGCGGCCGCGGCGGCTGCTGCCGCTGCCAATAGTAGTCTAAGGGATATGCCGGCGGGCACATTGTCCGCCGGCGCTGCGGTCCCGTTGGCCAACATGTCTGGCAACACGCAGCTAAGCGGTACGCTGGCCACAGGCAGCCATTCGATGGCGGGCAGCGGTGGCGCCGGCGGCATGGGCTCGCCCATGCTGAAGAAGCGTGTGCGCAAGTTCTCCAAGGTCGAGGAGGATCACGATGCATTTACCGAGAAGCTAATGACGCACATACGCCAAATGCAGCCGCTGCAGGTGCTCGAGCCGTTGCTCAATCGCAATTTTCTCATTGGCAGCGGCCCATGCTTTGGCAGCAATGGCAGCAATGCCAACGGCGGCGGCGGCGGCAAACTGAAGGCGATATCGCGTGCACTACAGCTGCAGCGACAGCTCGATGATGGCGAGGGCGGCAGCAGCGGCAGCATTGACTGCGATCAACTGCTCGGCCGCATTGGGCACTTGCGTCATCCCAGCATCAAGTCGCTGTACGATAGTGAACGCTTCGGCGGCAGCGGCGACACCACCGCCAATAACTTTGCCAGCAACGGCAACAACATCCAGTCTAGCAGTGGCTCACTCTCGAGCATACAGAATGACTTTTACGATCAGGAGTTCTCTACGCACATCCAGCGCAATCCGCGCGAGCGTCTGCAGCGCCTGATAAGCGCGGTGCGCGACTGCAACTTGGAGACCACAGAGCTGGTAGAGCTGCAGCAGCAGCAGCAACAGCAGCAGGCAACGGGCATGCGTTTGGATGGGCCCGTTGCCTGGTCGCGGCTGAGTCGTTATCCGGGCCTGGTGCTGCTTAATACCAACAGCAATCAGCGCTGTGCACCGGGACGCATGTCTCCCGTGGCGCTGGCCATGGATGCGAATACGATGCGTCCGCCTGTCTCGCCGCTTTTGCGCAGCTGTGGCGAGGAGTTGCGCAAGGCGCAGCAGCTCGATCTGGGTATTGGTTTGGGCCACAACCCCAGCAGCAGCGGCACCAGCACCAGCAGCAGCAACAACACCAACAATACCAACAGCAACAACAACAACAACAACAACAATTATCAGCAGAAGAACCAAAATGTGATACTCTCACTGCACAATTCGGCAACGGACAACATTGCCGGCGTGCTGCGAGATTTGGCGAATCTGCTGCACCTGACACCCGCGCTAACCTGCAAACTGATCGATGCCTCAACGGCGGACAAGGCCAAGGAGCCAAGCGAAGCAGAGCTGGGTCCTGGCCAGAGCAACTCGGCAACGGCACCGGCATCGGCACCAGCAACAGCTGTCACTAGTCACGGCAACCTGCGCAAAATACTCACCGGACAGCGGAAGCTGTGCCGTTGCTGTGGCAGCGTAATTGCCGCCTTCGGCCTGCGCGTGCCTCATCAGAATTTGCCGGAGGAGCAGCCACCGCCCATGCTGGCAATGCTGCGTTCGCTGCTGCCGCGCAAATCTCCGCCGCCCCCGTATATATACTTTTGCAATCGCAGCTGCTTTGCACAGTACAAATGGCGCGGCAAGGAGGAGCCTGCCGACGAGGAAGTGGCGGCGGCGGCAGCGGCGGCCTCGGCCACAACTTTGCCTATAGCTGGCGATGTGCCCACGAGTAGCACCATGGCCATGCTGCCCATTGATAAGGTTGAGCCCGACGATCTTGAAATGGAGCAACAGCAACAGCAACATCAACAGTTGCAGCAGCAACAACAACAAGAACAACAGCAGCAGCAACAACAACAACAACAACAACAACAGCAGCAGCAGGTCGAACAGACGCCAACAACGCCGCCCGTTAAGCGCAAGTGCATCATCAAGTACTACAGCGCCGATTGCTTTGCAGCACACAACACAGAAGGTGCGTCCATCAAGCAGGAGAATGAAACAACAACGGCCAATAATACCGTCTGGGAGACAGACTGCAAGATGGAAGCCTTGGAGGATAGCCGCCAATGCGTCTTCTGCAATCAGCGCGGCGATGGCCAAGCCGATGGACCCTCACGTCTGCTCAATTTTGATGTGGACAAATGGGTAAGTGTCGACGACAGAACTTTAAATCTTGACGAGATGCCCACACACATAGTATTCCCATTGAAACCATATTCGTTTAGCCAATGTCTCCAGAGCGAGCTCTAGTTTGCATTATTATTATTACATATGTAACCTTGATAAAGTATTATGAATATTTATTCGTCTTCAGTCAAACTTCATATTAGATTATGTTTAATCGCATCTCAAAATATTTAATCCAAACAAAGTCCGCTTCTTTGAAGCTTCTTGGTCTTTGTGTTACTTTATTTCGCTTTGTGTGTCGCATTCGTAAACGTTTCGGCTTACAGTTTAGTCAAGAAATCGGAATCGCAAATCGGCACAATATTTATTTATTATCGTATTGTTATAGGTTCATCTGAATTGTGCCTTGTGGTCGAACGATGTCTACGAGACGGTGGCGGGTGCGCTGATGAATTTCCAGATGGCCCTGCAGTCTGGACTGAATCAGGCATGCAGCGCCTGCCATCAGCTGGGCGCCACCATCAAGTGCTTCAAGTCGCGCTGCAGCAATCTCTACCATCTGCCCTGCGCCATCAAGGAGGAGTGTATCTTTTACAAGAACAAATCGGTGCATTGCAGCGCACATGCGGCCAGCAGTTCGGCGGGTGTCACCGAAAATGAGCTCAGCTCGTTTGTGGTCCATCGTCGGGTGTTTGTCGATCGCGATGAGAACCGTCAGGTGGCCACGGTCATGCACTATTCGGAGCTAAGCAACTTGCTGCGCGTGGGCAATATGACATTTCTCAATGTGGGCCAATTGCTGCCGCATCAGCTGGAGGCTTTCCACACGCCCAACTACATTTACCCCATTGGCTACAAGGTGGTAAGTATGCACGGACTCAGCAAAAGATTCACATTGATTCACATGGCCGTTTCATTTCGAATCTCTAGAGCCGCTACTATTGGTGCGTGCGCCGACCGAATCGGCGATGTCGCTATATCTGCAGCATTGCCGAGGTCGGTTGCCGGCCGGAGTTCCGTATACAGGTGCACGATGCCAGTGACAAGGAGCCGGATCGTGAATACCGCGACAGTACACCGACGGCCGTTTGGCAACAGATCCTGCAGCCCATACAGCGTATGCGCAAGGTGCACAAATGGCTGCAGCTCTTTCCACAGCACATCAGCGGCGAGGATTTGTTTGGTTTAACGGAGCCGGCTATTGTACGGATATTGGAGAGTTTGCCGGGCATTGAGACGCTCACCGATTATCGTTTCAAATATGGACGCAATCCGTTGCTGGAATTCCCGCTGGCCATCAATCCGTCCGGTGCGGCGCGCACCGAGCCCAAACAGCGTCAGCTGCTTGTCTGGCGGAAGCCGCACACACAGCGCACCGCCGGCAGCACCCAACGCATGGCCAATTCGGCGGCAATTGCCGGCGAGGTGGCGTGTCCGTATAGCAAACAGTTTGTTCACTCAAAGAGTTCGCAGTACAAAAAGATGAAGCAGGAATGGCGCAACAATGTCTACCTGGCGCGGTAAGCTTTATATGAGCACAAATTGCAATCATTTTATGATACATTCTACCCAACAACAATCAGATCAAAGATTCAGGGCCTCGGCTTATATGCAGCACGCGACATCGAGAAGCATACGATGATCATTGAGTATATTGGCGAGGTAATACGCACGGAAGTATCGGAGATACGTGAGAAACAATACGAATCAAAGGTAAGCGCGCCTCATAAATACTAAATGCTATATTTACGCATATGAATATTATAAATACAACCATTGCCAATCTGCTTCCACAGAACCGTGGTATCTATATGTTCCGCTTGGATGAGGATCGCGTTGTCGATGCAACACTGAGCGGCGGTCTGGCGCGTTATATCAATCACTCCTGCAATCCAAACTGTGTCACAGAGATCGTTGAGGTTGATCGCGATGTGCGCATCATAATATTTGCCAAGCGTAAAATCTATCGAGGCGAAGAGGTCATATCTTATACTCTTAGATATATGCTGACACAAACACTTACATTTTATTCGTTTACTCCAACAGCTCTCGTACGACTACAAGTTTGATATTGAGGATGATGCGCACAAGATACCCTGCGCTTGTGGTGCACCCAATTGTCGAAAGTGGATGAATTAGAGCCCAGCAGCAGCACCACCACCAACACCACCACCAACACCAGCTCCTACGCCCATACAACAAACACCAGCAGCTACAAAAAGAGTTCGGGTGCTCCCTCCCAGTGAACACGATTTGAATTGTTGTTATTCACATGTTGTATACAACCACATCAAAATAGTATATATTCTTTAAGCAGTATATATGTACATATATTTATTAGATATATATGCATGTATCTACACACACACACACACACACACACACATTATATATATATATATATATATATATATATATCGAAATGCACGAGTATAAATGGCATAAAATCTTCTAAGTTATCTGTGTGTGCCCACGAATGCGCCACTCGTGTATATTGTAGCTAATTTGTATCCTATTGCTCATAAGCCAAACGTGTTTTGTAGTATAATTAAAAAGAAAAAACAAACAAACAAACAAACAAAAAAAAAAAACAAGAAAAGAAAAACAAATAAGAAAATTTCACGCATAAAATATTTGTAGTTACAACTTTTAAGCATGTATTTTATGTTACTTGATGATTATTCGTATGTATTACGTGCGTACATATATAATACTAATATATATATTTATGTATATATATATATATATATGTATATATATATATATATATATATATGTATCTGTACATCCTTCTACCCAATATCTGTAAACATCATTAGCAGACCTGGGTGTGCCTTCGTTCGTTTTTTTTTTTATTATTATTATTATTAAATTTTTTTTTAGCTGTTACGAGACTGTATAGGAAGAAAACAAATGAAACAATCTCTTCCCAGGTGGTGTAGTAATTTATTTTATGTACATCCAAAATTGAATGTATTTTTTTTACTTAATTTCTTTTCTAATTTTTAACATACAAATATCAATCAATGTGTATCTATCTTTAGTTGTTAAGTAAATGTAAACACTTTAAAACCATATTACAATTTTTACATATATATTTGTATATATTATATATATGTATATATAAATATATTATATATATATATATATACATACATATATTATATATATATATACATACATATATATGTATATATACATACATATATATATATATATATATATATATATATATATATATATATATATATATATATATATATATATGATTTTTTCGTTTATTTATATATTATATTTACATAAAACTTTTTTGTTCTTGTAGTGAAACAATTTAACTAAATTTCTTCAACAATTAACATAATATGTGTGTACACCGACTTGTCATTGGGTGTATATGTACATTAATAGATGTTGACTACGTCTTTTTCCTAATTCGGTTAAATAATTGTTGCACTTCCACGGCAAACGCTAATGTGAGCATGTCAAAATTTTTAATATACCACGATATATTGTACATCATATGGATGCGTCTGTTCTTGTCAAGAAAGGTTTTATAAAAAACACTCATTTGATCGGCGCTTAGCTCATCGTTTCCGCTTAATTTGTGCAATCGTATGAAATCCGCTTTTTCCTGCAACAGAACATAATAAACAAAAATGTATATGTATAAACAATTCGAAATTTCATTCAACATGGATACAAATGAAAGAGAAGCAGAGGCAGAGAGAGAGAGAGAGAGCCAGAGAGAGATGGAGGGTGAGTGAGTAAGCGAGAGAGAGGGAGAGGGACGGAGCAACAGAGAGGGGCATGTAGGTTTTTGACTAGTGTGCAAAAATACCCCGGTATTTTGATTTGAACGATATATGATAGTGATATAAAATGAACGCAGATACCAACCTCATAGAACCGTTGGTTGTGCTTGGTCCAGAAATCCATATTCCATTTCTCAACTTCAATGCGTAAGAGTCGCAATTTATTGGCCAATTCAGTTTCATTCTCATCGTAATGCCGCACATACGGCCGCAGATTGGATTTCGGATCCGGCGGACCAATATAATCCGTTTTCACCGACTGCGCATCTGGCGGTTGTGTAAGACCAACGCACACAGAACGTTTTTTCGGCCGTGCCTGTGCCTGTGCCTTTGCTTGTGTCTGTTCCGTTCCATAGCAGCGTGACCAGTGCTAAATAACAATGCGCTGACATGAATGAGGGCACACTGGGATTTATTTATGAATTACTCACTTTTAAACAGTTTATCAATATCCGAGGCTGTAGGGTTTTATTCATTTCTATTAGTTAGTTTGTCATGTGTGTTTGTACATAAGTAAATACTGCCGCGACTAGTGATGAACCAGAACTATCGGCATAATTAAGATTACGTTACGATTGTTCGATTGATAAGAGGAGGCGTGCTAGGTTTGCCGCCAAATGGTTATTTAAACACATAAAACAAGTTATATATATTCAAGTGTTTCTTGGTTTCAGTTATTCTGCATAATGCCAATGAAAATTATATTAAAATAATAATATTTAAAAATAAAAAAGTTGGGGTATTCCGCGTTTGGATTTAGAAACTGCAAGAATTGACCACAGAATTTAGGTTGAAATATTGTCTTATACTAATGCTTGCAGCCATTTAATACTCCATTTACCGCCTTGTCATACCAGAAAATATTAATTTGTACTGTTTATAAAGTTTTAAATGCAGTGCTGTAAAGTGTAGCTAAATCTGGCGGATAAATGGCTGAAAGCTGACAGCTGTGCCTCGCAGCATCCAGCATTTGATCATGCACGCGACGATATATCGTAAAAGCGACTATCGATACAAACGATGACAATAACAATAATCAGCTGAAGCAGCTCTTGTGCCACGCAAAATTATAAATTAGTTATTTTTTAATTTAAGGCATCTATAAACAATTGAAATATAGGGCATTGACCAAGGGTGCGTAGATCCACAGGACGCAGACAGTAGGCAGCATGTCGTGGCTAAACAACAGCCTGAACACCATCAAAGGACAACTGACGAACTTGGCCCAGGAGGTGCTGGCCGACACAGCCGGACCCGGTGATGATGAGTACCGCGGACCCGAGCTAGACACCAAAACGGCTGTTGAGCTGCTAACGGAGACGCAAACGCTTAAGGAGCAGCTAGAAAAGGCATGCGAACTCAAGGATCAGGAGGTAAGTGGGCGCCATGGGGGATTCCCCTAGTTGACCATGTTGTTGTTGTGCCCATGGCCTCAGGGCCTGCTGCAAGTTGCACTTGTAGGACTTTCTGTCGCCGGCTTCTGCGCGCCACAACATCGTCAACTTTGCCATATGATGCACAAGCAGACACACACACACGCACACACACACACAGACAGACAGATTTTGAACGTGCCTCATCTTCTATCCACAGATTGCCGCACTGCGCAAACAGGTTGCCACACTAAAGACCCAAAAGCTAAGCGAAGGCGGCGGCGACGCTGATGGCGACACCAAATCGTTGGTGAGTTGACCAAACTCCTGCAAAAACAAAACACTTTGATTAGCATCTATGTTAGGCGCGACGCCCAGTGGGCGTGGCAACAGTAGTTACACGAATCGGCAGCAGCTAAAATCGAAACCCAAACTGCAGCTGCTGCCACCGCCACGAATATTTCCGGTGCTCGCAGCCCACGCCGCTCCATGGACCATGTGAACCATACGCTCAGCCATATATGCTGTATACATATGTATATACATGTTTATATATATGTACGATATCTGGCATATCGTCTGCTGTTTGCTCGCGCGCTGTTTGCATGCGGCGCGATAAGCAAACCGAGCACAGAGCCATCGGCTTTGGCGTCGGTTGCACGTTAAATTGTTCTCTCGCACATATCCCTAAATTAATATTTAAATTGTGATAAGGCGATGGCAGCGCTCAGGAGCGGCACCAGCAATGGCAATGGCACCAGCAATAGCAATAGCAACTGCCTGGTCTGGGCTTATCTGTTGCCCCTGCGCCTGCTCCTGCTCCTGCCTCACTGTCTTTGCAACGTGGCCTTATCAACGTTTACCTGCTGCCACATTATGTTGCGCGCAGCGATAAGCCGCAGCCAGCTTGTCCTACCTGCCCGGCCGCTCGTCCTCCCAGCCCCAAAGCCAGCCCAAACCATGTATCATTTGATGGCCGCTCTTCTATGGAAAAAGAAAGAACAATAACATAGTTTGGGAAATTTCTATTTGATTTAACATTACGTTCTATTTACTTGGTCGGTCATAAATCGGATGTGCTTTTCGCCCATATGCTGCACTCGGCTGTCATATCTACCCAAATGTATAGCTATATACGTGTACATTAACTGAATCCTCGTCATCTGCCCGACCCGTTTGTTTAATTTACTGAATTATTTTTGATTGGGCCGCCTATCGACCCGCGCCCCGTGCCCCCGTGCCACCCTTGCCAAAAGCAGAAACCTTCCCCCAAGCGACCTGCGACCCAACTGATATGCTCTTTCAATTGTTTGGGCTTTGACTCTTTCATTTGATTTGATTTCTTTTTTTTTTAATCGACTGCTTAACCAACTCGCGCATAACTGTACCGAGTTTTGTGCTTAGTTTATCGAGAGGCTGTCATCGATAGACATTTTAACTTACTTTCGTTCAGTTTTCGAAGAATTCAATCGTAATCCGTTCGTGTTTCAGTTCAGAAGAACTTGGCTAAATACTGAGAGCCTCGCGATTAAAGGACTTAAATATTTCGAATAGCTGAAAGCGATCCTGAATATAATGTTGGCACAAGAGCACAATAAAGGAATATGCACATGCTCTGTTCATAATAGGTTTCGTATATCGTCTCAGATAACACCTATAAAAGTCTATGCAATATATGCTTAAATACTTCTTTCATTCGCATTTGACAAACTCGAAGATTTGAAACGCGTTTGGTTAACTCATAAATGTTTGTCTCTAGCAATCAGCATCAGGTTTTGCTCACTTTTATTCCATTTCCATGGGCACAGTTGAAACAAGCAAGAATAGTTGTCTATGCGTGCATACTTAAAGCACATCTACTATATGGTATATAGACGCCCGATGCTGATCAGATTTTGTTTTTTTTTTTTTAAAGCTTTTGGTTGTCGGGTTTAATTAGGAAATCTTAAAAAACCAAATAGCTTTTCATGTAAGAACTCGAAGCTTATCCCAATTGTTAATGAAAGTTATATAATATAGCAGTTCGATCCGATCCCCAACAAAATTAAGGACCTAGCTAGATATGGCTTTATCGTATATATATATATAATCATGGGATTAGGAGGATTATAGGCCTGCAAAAATATATATTTGTATTTCGGGAACCCAAAACCCACCAGATGGGTCTGCTTGTCGCGGGGTTGGAGTTGGAGTTGGGCCGTTGAGTTGTCAGATATCGGCTGATGTTATCTTTATCTCTGGACTGGATCGATAGCGGACGCCATATTGTTTTGCATAACAATAGCGACTGGCGGGCGGGCGGACGGGTGGCGATAAGCGGGATTGGTCGACTGGTCGACCCCATTAACTATTAACCATGTGGCCACAAATAGCCGGATTGTTATCTTATCCGGGTCGAGCTGGCCAGGATTCGATGGCTGGCAACTGTTCGTCCGTTATCAGGGCGAGGCCCATAGTGGGGGTGGGGGTGGGGCTGGGGTTGGAAACGGGCGCCTGTGCCCATGTCCGGGGGTTGACATACGCCTATAAAAGCTGGCCCACCTGCTCATTGTCATTCATTTCTCGTTACGTGCGATCGTCGCCCGGTTTTCGACTAACGACTCAACAATTCGTTGGCCCGTCTCGCACCCGCATAAAGTGTTAATTTTCTTAACGTCTTTTTTTTTTAGTTTTGTTGTTTGTATTTTTTGTACACACTCGGTTTTTGGCTGTGCTCTATTGTTGCTGGCCTAAAAAGACAAAAACGCAATTTGCATTTGAAAATCGTGTGAACATTTTCCAAAAAAGCAGGCCAACAGCAAATAAGTATTTTTCAAAGAGTTTTTCTTTTCGTTTCGCGTTTCTATTTGTTTTATTTTTTTTTTTTTCTTTTTTCCCATTTATCTATATATTTTTTTTTATCGTGCCGGAAGTTGCGACTGCAGTTTACAGTTGAGGTGAGTTACAAACAAAAAATAAAAAAGAAATGAAGACAAAAATAAAATACAATTTGTAAAAATTAATAGAAATAATTGCAGTCGGTGCTGGCTGCCCGACTGTGCCATACCCTGTGCCCGGCCAAAAAGGCGAGTAAGAGCGAAAGTTAGTCGTAATATTTATGCTAACAGCTTTCAAGCAGTTATTACTAAAGTTCGAATCAGGCTTCAAGAACAGCGCTGCAAAGCCAAATATAAATTGTCACTGGTTCAGTTTGTGAACTCTTTAAAGCAGGGCTGCAAGCTAAGAAAGTATTTGGTTCATAATGCGAACCAGCTCCCTGTCGTTGGGATCGGTTCGTGAACCTGCTAATCTTGCTTTGGTGTAAATTTGTACAATTTGAATAAACAGGTTACATATTTTAATTTTTGGCTGCCCGTTCTGCTGAAAATATTGCATGCTCTGTACTTTCTTATGGCAATTGCGTGCTTTATTTGATTTCCAGCCAAACCTTGGCGTCTACCAAATATATTTAGATATAGATAGATTGCAGCTCAAGATATTTATGGCATGGAGCTAAAACCTTCTCAAACGATTTTCAAATCTAGCGAAAATATCCATTTCGAGTTTAAAAAATTTACGTTTCGTTTTGGGTTTAGATGCAGCTGTTTTTTGTGCAAATATGCTTTGGTTTGAGCTGCGTACCACGCCAAAAAGTGTTGGAATTCCCAACTCGAACCGGTTCGGCTCAACATTGATTTGTGGCCTTTCTGTAGCATATGATTGGCTCTTCAAAAATAGGGCACACACAGCACAACAATATACTCCCTCTGCACAATATGTTAAAAGTTTATAAATATGATAACAAAAAAAAAAAGGAGGAGAATAAAAATGTGTTTTCCATGCGCCAGCGCAAAGCGAAATTAGTTTAATTGTTCAATTTAAATGCAATGATTAGACGAGCACGGGCAAATCTCTGCCGACACGAGCGACGAGCACGCACCTGGCGTTGATAATGGGCTCAGCGCCCGGTGGGAGGGGGCGGTAATCCAGAGGGAGTGGGTGGCAGGCAATCTATTGAAGAGGGGGCGGCGGGATCGGGTCGCGTCAGCAAATTGAGAGCTGGTTGACATGTGGTCGGGTAATGAAGCGCGCATCGCAAGAAGCCAAACTGGGTTGAGGACGGGCTGCGAGGGGGTTGGGCTTGGCTACGGGTGGGGAAGGGGGCGCGGGGGCGGATCGGGCTGG